CATGGGCAGAAATCATAGAATGCGATGTTTTCTGTTATATATAAGATGCTGGATGCTTTGTTATAGTTCAAATTTTAACTTTTTGCAGTTGAGGATTTAAACTTGAATTTACCAAAGACGAAAATGATTTATTTGATATTATGGATGACTGGTTATGGAGGGACCGCTTCGTTTTTGTAGCTTGGTCTGGCCTATTACTCTTTCCTTGCGCATGTTTCGCTTTAGGGGGTTGGTTCACAGGTACAACCTTTGTAACTTCATGGTATACCTGTTGAGCCATATATTTTCATAGAGAAAATATATTAGCAAGTTTTATAAAACATGGGGACACTTTAAAAAAAAATAGTGGTCCAAAACATGGACCGACTAGAAATAAGGTTCACATTATATATATATATATATTATATATAAGGAGAGAAAAAAATCTCAACAGTCCTAGAGTTCTTGTCTATCCAGAACTCTCCTAAGCTCCCCACGTTCTCAACTCAGTAAAGTGATGGCTTTCCTCAACTTCCCCACACCCCGGGAAAGTAGAACACGTAACAGAAAGGAGGAGAGAAAGAAGAAAACACTGCAGAAATTGAGAAGCACACGGAGAAGAAACAAAATAGAAAAGCAAACAGAGAACAAGAGATACATGGCGAAGAGGTAGAAAGGAAGGAGGTTGCTGTCATTCCAACAGCTTCGAAGAGCAAGCAACGAATTTCATAAGGTAATTAGCATTGTCAATTAACCCCTTTGGTTTTCTATGTTGCTCCTTTCTTGCAGGAGAACACGGCAACCATCAAATCCTACTTTCTCTCAAACCCAATCTGGGATTAAGCTGCACATTGTCTCTCTTCCTGTTTCTCGGATTCTCCACCAAAATCCATGCAACTCCCCAAGGCCTCATGATTCATCTCCAAATCCCGCAACAATTTGCCTTTTCGGGAGAAATGCAACCAATTGGATAGAAGGTGGTCAAGAAATCCCGGCGGCAAGTTATGAGTTAGAAGACAAAGAATGAATACTGCTTCAAGAAATTCCAGGACCTACTCGTCAAGCACTTTCTCGGCACAGCATGTCTCTATGTAGACACGGCGGTGACAGAAGGTGATTTTTACGGGACGTTCAAAATCTACTCATCATGAATTTTCTCGGCACAGCATGTCTATGTATGGGACAGTCGGATCTACTCGTCAAGCATTTTCTCGGCACAACATATCTCTATGTAGACACGGAGGTGCCAGAAGGTGATCTTTACGGGGACGGTCAAAATCTACTTGTCGGGAATTTTCTTGGACAGAGCCCTTGAGGATGCAAGCAGTCCCTCTCCACTCCAGAAGCATAATCAGAGCCGCTGAGCAAAAAAGAAAGTCACAATGGCGAGACGTAAAAATCATGCCTCATGCACGGTAGCTGTTCAAGGTTCGTTCGACAAACATCAAACATGGAGGAACAAAGTTGCAGCAAAGAAAGACAAGAACCAGCCCATCTCCACTGTTTAGACGCTCCTCAAAGGCCCCCTGTCAATCCAAAAACCGGTCCTCAGAAGGCTCGCCTGTTGGTCCGTTCACCAGGTTACCAGAAACTGGAGCGGTTCGATAGGGAAATGCAGTAGCCGCTTGTGACTTTGTGATTGCGGAAAGACAGGAAAGACAGCAGCTATGCAAGGACGCTACTCGGAGGTGTGCAGCACCTATGCTTGACTAAATATCAAGGCAGCAGCTATTGAAAGATGGAGTTCGCCTCATTTGTTCCTTTTAAACATGGTCCAATTACTCTAGCATGAACATGTGATGAATCATCACTCATGATTCTCTCTCCTCCATTAGAGTGGGGTTCTGTATAGGAATACATTTGGGCACAAAACCTTAAAAAAGCTGCAGAAGGAAAAAACGAGTTTAAAACTCGAAAGGAAGAGAAGAGCTCCAGCCAAAAATACAAAAGAGGCTTTTATCACATCGAAAGTAAATAAAAATTGTGGATGTGGTCTTCTTTTCAGCACATGAAAGAGTTCAAGCTGTCCCAAGTTCACAGAAAAGGAAAAAGCTTCCCAAAATAATTGGGAAACTCAGCTCACATGGCAACTTAAGGAAATATGGGCCTGCGTTTCTTCCTGCTACTTTGATCAAGTAATTACAAATTTTACAAAAAGTAAAAGAGAAGTTTGCAAGCACAGTTCCTAGATTTCCAATTATTGGATGCTGCTAACGCAACAAAGTTCCTAATTTTATAGAGAACAAGAAAATGTAAAACGTTTATTTTAAAGCATTTTGCATTTTCTATTGAAGATGGTCTTACAATTTCTCGTTCTTGCATTAGATATATAATTTTTTTTTAATATAAAATCTGTATTTTAATTACTCTAATTTACATGAGATTTGATTTGAGTCCAATAGGATAAATACACCACTCACGTGATCATATCAGCTAGTCTTTAAATAATAACGTCAGTAAGTTAAATTATTGATTATTAGGCAAGAGGAGAACAGTGAAAATTAAACTATATCAATTATCATGTGTTGCCCATCAACCTTGGCTTTTATTATAATTTTTTATTAATTTATTTTTATCAATATTATATTAGTTAAAATATCTAAAAAGACCTTCCGAGTATTAAAGATAGCCACAAACAATCATAGAAGACATCACGTGCATCATGTGATGGCCGTCCACCTTCAAAACTTCCACTCTTACAAATGTATATGATTCGCTTCGAGTCCTACGGCTCTTCTGGATTATCCGTTTCTTCAACTCTCACATCGTCTGTAAATTAAACTCATATATTTAATTATCAGTTGAGTAAATGTATAAAGTTCGTTGATGTAGGTGGGTTCTGTGAAAGCTCTGCATCTTAACAGAAGAACGTCTCTGAGATTTGGTTCTTCTCTCTTCTCAGATCCTTGAATGGACCACCAAATGATTGTTTCAGATTCAAAGGTCAGAACCCACATCTCCAATTCTCATTGTCCTGTGATTTCTGAATTCAACAGTGTTTGATTTGATTCGATTTGATCAAAGTTTGATTAATTAGTAGTTTTGTCATCTGGGATCAACAAAATATGGAGATTTTACCTGCAATGCAAGGAAGCAATCTAAAAGGAGAGTTGCTGCTAAGTGCAGTGCTTCCTCTGCTGAAGCTCCTTTCAATGGCTGCCATTGGTTTTCTTCTTGCCCACCCAAAATACCAACTTGTCCCTAAACTCACCTTTACATTTCTCAGTAAGTTGGTATTTGCTGTCTTTTTACCCTGCTTAATCTTCACAAATCTAGGGCCATCAATTAGTCTAAAGAATTTGGTAAATTGGTGGTTCATTCCTGTTAATGTTGTAATAAGTACGGCGATCGGGTGTGTGTTGGGTTTGCTGGTTGCAGTGATTTGTAGGCCTCCACCTCAGTTTTTTCGATTGACCGTGATCATGACTGCGTTTGGAAACACGGGTAATCTCCCTCTTGCAATTGTTGCATCTGTTTGCCATAGTGATAATAACCCTTCGGTACAGAAGATGACTGCACTGAGGCTGGTGTGGCATACGTTTCTTTTTCCCAATGGGTTTCTGTCATTCTGGTTTACACTCTTGTTTACCATATGATGGAGCCCACATTGGAGTCTGGTGTTTATGTAGTTGTGGAGGAAGAGGAGAATCATGAGATTGCGGAATTGGGTTCGGATCAGAATGGGAACGGGAATAGGAATGGAGATGAAAGTGATCTTGCTAGGCCACTTCTCGTTGAGGCTGAATGGCCTGGAATTGAAGATAAGGAAACTGAACATTGCAAGACACCCTTTATTGCAAGGCTTTTTAATAGCAGCAATGGTGTACTTTCACACACTAGTCCTTCGGAACTTGGTGAGGAGGAGGAGGAGGAGGGAGGTTATCCGAGAAGTACCAAGCCTAGTAAGTGTCTGGCAGAGCCTAGGATCGTGAGGAAAATCAGATATGTTGCTTGGAGAACACCAATTCATGGCATTCTTCAGCCGCCAACAATTGCTTTTCTGTTGGCCATTGTCATTGGCATGATTCCCACATTGAAATCTCTTGTTTTTGATGATGACCAAGTCCTTTCGTTCCTCACAGACAGCTTGGAAATTGTAGCGGAGGCCATGGTGCCTTCGGCTGTGCTTGTTCTTGGAGGAATGCTAGCTGAAGGTCCCAACGAATCCAATCTCGGAATGAGAACTACGATTGGGATTATTGTTGCAAGGCTTCTGGTACTTCCTTTAATTGGGATTGGTGTGGTTCTATTGTCGGATAAATTGAATCTTTTGGTAGCCGATGATCAATTGTATCGGTTCGTTCTTTTGCTGCAATACACCACACCTTCTGCCATATTGTTAGGAGCAGTTGCAAGCTTGAGGGGTTATGCAGTCAGAGAGGCTTCTGCTCTCCTCTTCTGGCAGCATATTGTTGCCGTCTTCTCCCTCTCGCTCTATATAATTGTCTACTTCTACATTCTGTTTTGAAAATATACACAGCTTGGACCTCAATTTTTTTTCAGATATATATGATAATCAATTCACAATAATAGTTTCCATTTATTCAGCAACGGTTTTATCAGCTGTTTTTCCTGTTAATGTTTAATAAAAAAAGCTTCCTCCACTGCACCAAAAAAATTGTGCCTGCTCTCGGCGTGGGCTTCTGCCTTGTAGGTTTATGGGTTTCCATATGGTGTCAACGCAAAGGCACCAATTATTAGCCTGTAAAAAGTTCAAAAAAGAGGGCATAAATCATTTTAAATTGGCTTATCATGATGAGGTAAAAGAAAATTAAGAAACAAAATTATGTACGAGACAATATATTTAGTCATGATGTATGTACTCTACACAAAATCTCATTTTAATCGTATATTTTATCTGTTTCGCACTACCTCATGTTCTCATTATTCGTGCCCCATGTTGCTCCATTTAGTTGACTGGGATGAAAGAGGCGTTAGTTTTGTTGACATAATAAGTGCTATTTGGTCATCAACGAATACGTAGATAGGTCAAAGAAATTTTTACAACCAAATAATGTTACAGTTCAATAGTATTTATTTTATTTGTAGGTGATAAGTCTTAAGGCTTCTACACATATTTATAACAATGACGTATTATATTTATGTTGAGTTTGAGACTTAATTTGTAGTGTGCACATCACGTAGCCTAGTCCAATCACCTTAAACCTTGGGTGCAAGCAATAAAAGTAGTGTGCCACAAATAATGACCCACAATGTCTTGGGTTAAACTCTCTCCCTTCCTCTTAATGTAAAATACTGATTGTCAATTTCTTATATCACTTGTTAACCCAATTTGAAACAACACGAAAACAACAGGTTTTGGGTTAACACGTTAATCGAGTCGTTATCTGGTCACACGTTAAGGATTCATTAATAATGGGTTCTTAACAAGTTTACCTGTAGGTAACCCGTTTTAACTTAATAAGAAAAAAGTTAGTTTGATAGTTTTAAACTACCAAAAAACTTTACTACAATAGCCATATTATTTAATAAGTGAGATTAAAAACATCCAAGGCACAATAAAAATAGGGAAATTGCCGAAGAAAAGTCTCAAATGGCATGAAGCTGCGTTCAGCTCCAAGTGACTCAAAGTCCTTGCTTGCAAGAGCCTAAACTGCACAGGCATCAAATATCAACAAATACATTGTGAACTACGCTGGTTTGATTCCTTCAAGGGTACGTAGACAATCTAGTACCATATTCTAGATGCAATCACAATGCTCAAACACAAAATCAAATTCCTAGTTCATTCAACCAAATTCACCCAAATAAACCAAACACCAAATCCTTTTTAGTGGGTCATTCACTCACTAAAAATCCACATACAAAATCAAAAGAACTACGAGCGGCTGGATCCCTCAACAAGGGTACGTAGGCAATTTAGGCCTTTCACTTAAATGCAGCCACAAAATCAAATAAAAACACCAACCCTCGAAATTCATATTTTCATGTTAGAATCAAAGGGTGTTCCATTTTTTAAGTGAAAGGTTGTAATTAATAGACTCATAATTTAGAATAAGTCGAACTCAAATTAATAAAACCCTCTTCAGAAAAATGAATGAGGGTGAAATTGCGTCGAGTGAATTATTTGTTTACACATTGTGGGCATTTTTTGCTCAACAATACCCTTGGATTAGCAAGTTCCTATTTGGAAGGCTGTAACTTCTTAACCGTGACAGTTTCCACCCCGGCTAATAATTTCGCGCACTCGTTGTTGTTACTATGCGGTCCTGAAACAAGGAGATTTTACTCGTTGGTGAATGCTATTGAGTCATTGCGGGGAGGTCATTGGCCTGCAACAGGTAATCAACGATAAACTCACCTTAAAGCCACAGAAATCATCACACAGAGAAGAAGTTAGAGCTCATAGTGATCATTGTATTTCTTCTCAATATTTTTAGTATGTTTCTTATGCAGATAAAAACTCTGAGATGTTGCCTTGAGGAACACTTAAATCAAAGTAATGTGAAATGGGCAGTGTTAACCCAAACCCAAGAGGTTTGGCTGTAGCAACATGTTGCCATCATCTTTGCCAGTGGAAGCGCTACATAAGTAATCACTAATCAATTTTTCTCGCCATAAAATTCACGAATTATTTGTTAATATGTCATTTAAACTACCTGCATGTATCTTTTCATCGTTAAACAGGCTTTATACAATTGGCTTCGTTTGCAGCTAAAAAATATTTACTGGGGTTGGGGATCACAAAAGAGGTATTCCATGCAATTACATGGTTCACTAGTTGGGCAGTCCCGATGTTACTGATTGCAGACCGCATTTAGAATCCATGTAATCGTCTTGAACTTGTGTTTACTTGAATAGCCGGAATTATAGTCAACGGTTTGCACTAGATAGCTTTCCGGTTCACTCTCCTCTTATGTAACGGTTGCTTATCAGTGGGAACACTATGTTGTGACGGTGAAAGGAAGCAATGTGGGGGAGACGATGGAGTTGAGGACATTGTGCGAAATATGAAGGCAGTTGAAAGGGCTGTGTTAGGCTTTATGTGCAAGCAGATTATAGACACGGGCAGGTTATGTGCAGTCATAGTTACTTTTTCAGTTTGGATATTCTTGCTGGCTTTCTTCAGGCTCTCAAATGCAAGAATGGACTTTTTATGCATATTAATTAGTGGGCAGCAAAATTCCCCATGAATAATTACAATCTGAGCCAATACCGTTAAAAATTTTGAAAGTTTTAATGAAATATTTTCGGTATTGTTTATTTGAACGAAAAATCATTTTTTTTAATCTAAAAAATCATTCATGTACTATTCATTTACAACACATTTTTATCATTTTGATTACAACTCAAAGTTTTCAAATTTTTTTCGTTAATTTTAAAAAAAAAAATATATTTAAAAAAAAGCCCAAATTGATGCTGAGAGTGAGTGTTTTTCGGAATGATTGGAGAGGAAACAATGTTTCCAATTTTCATTTCAAAATTTCAGAGTCAAATCGGGTTCCAATTTTTCAATTCAGAAGTGGCTGTCCAAGTTTTCTGCAGAGTATCCAATCGTAGCGCTGGACCCATTTGTTCATGCAAGAACTCGACATGTGTAAAAGCATAATGAAAATCCCCAAATCACAATTCTTTAATTAATTCTCACATTAATTTCTCGAAGAGTTAAATTAGTAGACGTCACCCGTGAGGACTACTTGAATAAATAAAAAGTATACCGACTTATTGTTTATAATTTATTTTGGCTTCTCGGTCCAAGAAATGGGACAATAAAAAAAAATATCTCAGCTTGATTGACAAGAAAAATAAAGTATTTCAGCTAGTCTGTCTGTGTTTGCTAATCGCCACGAAGTAGCGAAAATGCTACGTCAGCTCTACACCAGGACCTATCCGCAGCAGCTGCCCAGGATTTCCACTTCCTCACTAAACCCTCCGTCTTTATCTTTTTCTTTTCCTCCACGACATAATCCCCCCATAAATACCATTGCCGTCTTCTTCCTTCATCATCTCACAGCTCCCACGATGAACACCGACCCCAAAGGCACTGTCGTCTTCTCCACTGTTGGCAGACCCAACTATGGCTTCGACATTTTCGCCCTCCCCATCCTCCTCCACCCCTCCTCCACCAATATCGGCCCTGAGCGCCGCCTCTCCGACGGCCGTTCCATCAACTTCAATGCCCAATTCGCTGACAACAACCACGAACCCCACTCCCTCGTCTTCATCTCCGAGCGAACCGGGTTTCCCGCCATTTACTTAACCCGACCTGGACTCCCCCATCCCCAGCTCTTGCACTCCGAACCCGGATCCCTCTTCCACGACCGACCCATCATAAAAAATCACACCCTCTACTTCGTTTCAGCTCACCAGGATCCCGGTCGATACTTCAAATCCTGGTCTGCTCTCTACTCCTCCACACTCCATGACAAAATCACAACCCGATTGACTCCCTCTGACTCCGTCGATTACAGTCCCGCCCTCTCTCTCTCCGGAAAATTCGTCGCCGTCGCCTCGTACGGATCTCGTCCATGGGGCGGTGAGTTTCACGAGCTCAACACCGATATCGTCGTATTCGAAGCATCGCGACCCAGCAAGCGCTTACTCGTCTGCGAGCGCGGTGGCTGGCCCACCTGGTCCGGCGACTCCGTCATATATTTTCACCGCCAACATGACGACGGCTGGTGGAGCATTTTCCGGGTCGATTTCCATTTTCCTAAAGATCTGGAGTCCTCTTCTGGGTTCCCGATCACTCCCACTCGAGTCACTCCATCGGGGCTCCACTGCTTCACTCCGGCAGCTCTCCACGACGGTAAACGAATCGCCGTCGCGACTCGCCGGCCTGGTAAGAATTTCCGACACGTTGAGCTTTTTGATGTCGAATCCAAGACGTTTCAGCCGATGACAGAGATCCTGAACCCGAATTTCCACCATTACAACCCGTTTGTTTCGCCCGATTCAGAGCTCCTCGGGTATCACCGATTCCGGGGTGATTCGACTCAGTGGGGCGAGTCCGATTCCACGATTCCTTATATCGAGCGAGTGTCGTCGCCTTTTGAACAACTCCAGATGCTGAGGATTCAGGGTTCGTTCCCAATCTTCTCTCCGAGCGGCGATCTGATCGCGTATAATCAGGATTTGGATGAGAACAGCGGAATCAAGGTCATCAAATCGGACGGCTCAAAGCGCTGGAATTTGATCAAGGGCCGGGCAGCCTTCTACAACGCCTGGAGCCCAACCGAGAAGCACGTCATCTACACCTCGGTGGGCCCAATATTCCAGTCGGCCAAAACAACTGTCCAGATTGCACGAGTCGAATTTCACCCATCAGATCTCGACGGCGATAAAGAGGACGTCCCGTGCAATGTAAAGATGTTAACTAAGGAAGAAACGGGGAATAACGCTTTCCCTTCGTGCTCTCCAGACGGCATGTCGTTGGTATTCCGCTCCGGTCGGACAGGGCACAAGAACCTCTACATTATTGACGCCGTTGACGGCGAGTTTAACGACAGTGTGCGTCAATTAACTGAGGGCCCCTGTATCGATACCATGCCAAGTTGGTCACCAAAAGGTGACCTCATTGTTTTCTCTTCGAACAGACACAATCCGGATGACGCAGCCGTGTTCGGCATTTACGTCGTCAAACCGGATGGTACCGACTTGAGGAGGATCCCGGTGGCGGGAAATGAGTCGCACAGGGAGAGGATCAACCACGTGTGCTTCAGCAAGGACGGGGAGTGGCTTCTGTTCACGGCGAACTTGAGTGGCGTGACGGCTGAGCCGGTGTCGTTGCCGAATCAGTTTCAGCCGTACGGGGAATTGTACGTGGTGAGATTGGATGGGAGTGGGTTGAGGAGGCTGACGTGGAATGGGTACGAAAATGGGACGCCAGCGTGGCACGAGGGTGGTGATGAGCTGGACATGGGGGGCTTGCGGTTGGGAAATGAAGTTGGAGGAGATGAGCTCAAGGGTCGGTTTGAGGAACCTCTCTGGATTTCTTGCGACTTCTAGAAATATAAAAGGAGGGAGGGTTTTGTTAATAAATAATTGTTTTTATAAAAGAATAAATTTATGCTTTAATAAAAAAAGAGATGCAAGTTATGAATTGCTCTGGTTGTTCGAGCGTTCTCTTCAACTTATTGCATGTGAATTCAAATTCTATCCCTTTATTATTATTATTATTATTTTTTTCTTGATTGTACTTAAATGAAAGAGGTGTTGTACTCAAAATAAAAAATAAAAAAATAAAAAATAAAAGAGGTGTTGTCTTCTTCGCAAAAAGGAAGAGAGCTTTTACAGGGGGTGATCAAGTCTGGTGCTCAAAACGTAAACGAATTGGCCGACGACATGTCCCGAAGAACAAGGTATATACATTCCACAAATTAGATACTCTGGTAATGCTGCCGCTACAAATATTTGAATGCTGGTGACCAAGACAAACATTCCAACCTCCTAACCTTAAATTGACAAGAAAGAGTGCATTTTTGCTCATCACCATTTAAGACGATGAGCATACATCATACTAAATGATGTGAGCAAAAATACTCCCGACAAGAAAATACTAGACTTCTTGTTACTTTTGAGGCTGTCAGTGTTTTTGACGAGTTACCGTTGCATATGCGACAAATTATGACTTGACATTCAAAATTAAAGTCAAAATCCTACAGGTTTTGTTATAGCGGCATTGATGAAATTATCCCTTTTAGTTTTTACAAATTTGATACGAGACAAAGATTAAAGACTAATTACTATTCTACTTCAAGTTTAAAATAAAACAAAGTTTAAAGATAATAATACAGAAGATTAACAGAGTTGGAGCCCAAAATTCAGAACAACTTACGGGGATTCGATCAGGGTATTCGGCCGAAAACGCAATGCAACGGCAAACCAGATGATTCTCTATCTTTGGTACTTTTGGCCCTTTGACGAAATTTTTGAGCCGAACATTTGGGCCCGACCCGGAGAGGCCTATCAAAATTAGGAATGGGTAAATACCCATTAGTTATAGGTAATCGTAATTATCCGTCCATTTAAATTTGATAGTTACGGTTATGGGTAACCGTTTAGATAAATAAACGGTCTGTTTACCTGTAAAATTTAAATGGACGGTTATGGGTATTACCCGCGGTTATAAACGGGTACCCATTTAACCGTTTATTTTAATATATGTAAAACTAAAAAAAAAAAAAAAAATTAGTTTCTAACTAGGTTTAGTGTCCCGAGATATATTTGGTTGTAAAGGACCATATATCTATATATATATATATATATTTATGCCTCACTTGAGAGAAAAATATAATTGATAGAACGAACTAATGTTTAATATATGTGATTGAATGTGCTAAAACATTAGAATGTTCGACAGTTTTGTTTTGGAGTCTTTTGGAGCTTTGACCAATTCAAGATAATGATTACCTTGAGCATTTAGAAACATGTTATTATCAGATGATGCATATCTATATATATTATCAGAGTTGTTAGAGATTGAAGTGAAATGGGAGTCATGTATTATTCTGTTTATTTTCTTCACTAGTATCAGATAAGAGAAATGAATGTAGAGAGGGACAAATGAGGAAAACATGATTATTACTTTCTGCTTTTCATCTTTTTGTACTACCCATACCATACAAACATATTTCTCTTTTAATGCATGTAAAAGACTTACACACCAAAACAATAAAAACCAAACTTCTATTATTTAAGCAATATAATTTTGACTTCTATTCTTTCACTTTCCACCCTTGGCTATATGTGGTTGTTTTCTTTATTTGGGTATTCACACCAATTTCACAACAAAAATCATTACTTGAGTATTTATAGTCACAACAACTACTAATGTTAGTGAAAAACAATTCAAGAATTAATTACAAAAAACAAAAAGGCATAACTTTGTATTACTTGTAGGGCAAGAAACCCCATTATTTTTCTTAAAAAAGGCACAAGGTACGGAGAAATGTCATCACAGTAATTCCCAAGCCTATCTTTTCTCTTTATGCAACTCCACCCCTTTCTCTCTCTCGTTCAATTAAATTTAGGCCACAACACATGTTAAACACGCTCATGACAATGAGCTAAGGAACCGAATGCTTGTTTACTACAAAACCGTTCACAATATTCATCAAGCAATCCAAGTAATCTATAAAACATGATTTCAATTTCGATATTTTTTTTCAGCAATGATTGCATGAAACATTCACCATGAAGCATGAACTCTAATTTACGTTTTTTTTTTCTTCAAATTATAGATTTAGCTTAAATTTATTGTTCTTATAATTGTGGTGAATTGAATATGCGTGAATAAGAGAAGAAACCCTACACGCATGAGAGTCGCAACCTAAAGCCGCGTTGCCCAAGCCACTAAGTCGTTCCTGCTCCAAAACTCTAAGGTCCAAAACAAAGCTGTTTTGCATCACCTTTCTTACGGACCTGGGCTGCCTGCAGTTGACTCGCAACCCAATTGGGCATATGCACCAAACTATCCCACTTGTTTTTTCTTTTTCTTTTGGACCTTGTTTTATTTTTGGCTCGCATGAAATAACAAGCCCATGGGTTAGGCCTTGTTTTTCACTTTTCCTTCTTAGCCTAATAATTGGGTATATAATCTGTTAATCCATTTACTTCTCCTTTGTTGCCCAGCAACCCAACAACCACTCTTTTGGGCCTGCAAGCCACGATAACCCCATATTTTGGGGTTGTCACCCATCCTTTTTACACATAGGTCCCGAAACTATTCCCATTCACTACATATGTATATTGTGTTTGTTTGTAGGTATCATGAACCTAGAGTTCGTACTTAAACTCGAACTTGAAGTTTTGAAAATAAGTGCCATAGAAATTCGAAGTTTCATAAAACAATACTGTAGACATCGAAATTTCGTTTCTTGTTTTCAGGAATTTTCCGTGTTCACAAATACACCTGTAAAAATCCGGAGTTCTTGTAGGTGATTTGTTAGGATTATATGTAGATGATGCTTTTAAAAACAACTGTAAAATTTAGTTTGTGCAAATTACTTTATTGTCCATAATTTTATTTTGTGATAGAAGACAAAAATGTTTTTTCACCCTCTTATAGTTAACAAAAAGAGTTTCATTAATATGTGGTTTAAATTAACTTCTTCCTTACAAATCTGTTATGTGTAAATAAACTAACTTGAAATAGGTCCAATTTTATAGAAAGATATCCTCTCTGGATCCCTTCCACCAAATCCACCAAATCAATCAATCCAGACCCTTAAAATTTGATTCAACGGTTAAAAATATGGGGCCCTTTAAAAGTTATAATAACTGTAGTCGTTGGACAAAATTTCAAGGGTCTGAATTAGGTGATTGGGTGGAAGAGATCCATAAAGGAACCCTTTTCCAATTTTATGGCCTAACAATTAGATTAGTCCAATTTTTAGTTATTTTTTTATTTAGGGCCATGAATAGGACTCCATGTGTCAGTACTTTTTGTTGTTAGGTTGATACTTTGCATTATGATTACTATTTTACTCTACTATAGCTATTCAATGGAAAAAGAAAAAAAAAAGAAAAAAAAATGATACGATCGGTACTTTGCTAGCTATTCATTTTGAGAACAATCGCTTAAAAGAGAGCGACTAATTCCCCATAAAGTCGCTACCTTCATACCGATCCATCCCTTTTCAAATTTTTTTTCGTTTTTTATTTTTTATTTTATTAATGTTTCTTTTATTTCTCTTAGCATAACAACAAACTATTATATTCGTGTTTTTCAAAATATATTTTTTCCGTGCAAAATATATTATAATTCATTTTTAAACACTTATAATCAATGATTTAAAACCTAAATTTAAAGATATTTTTCTATTTTCTCACTTTAAGAATCAATAAAAAATAGTTTCAGGACCTAATAATCGGTAGGATCACATCTAAAGGTTTTGCAATATTTTCCTTAATTCCAACGCAAAATATTTCTTAAAGCTAAAAATTTCGATTTTTTTTTTTCACAAAAAATTGTGTGATATAAGCCAAAGTTAGGGTTATTCTATTCGCACCACATATTTCCTAAAATTAATTTAGAACATTTCCAAAATTTCGGACACCTATAAATCTCTTGGGGGGCCTCGCTATTAGTTATATTCTTTTTCTATTTTTTTTTTCAACTCAGGTACCTTATTAGTCGGTATAAACCCAGATTTCAGCTGATCTTTTAGGATCTAAACTACCTATCATGTAAGTATTTTTACAGTCTAAACTACATGTCATATAAGTACTTGTACAAGCTAAACTACCTATCATATTATAATATCAGTTGGTATAAACTTAGATTTCAACTGATCTTTTATAATCTAAACTATCTATTATATAAATACTTTTACAGTGTGAACTACTTGTCATATGAGTACTTGTATAATGAGGTGCCTAATCTTTTCTTTCCATGATTCGCCGAACCCACCTACATGATTACCATGCACCCAGTGCATGCTTAAATTGTTCTACTTTTTTTTAAGTTTCACCGAGGTTCTGAAATGAAAAAAAAGAAAACTATCATAATTAGAAAAGTCTTTCACAGTGATCTGATCGATTACATATTCTATCAATCACCCCCTCTTCCCCTGATGCCCCTTTATAATAGTCTTAATATACTGATATTTCTGTTTTCTTAAGTTCTTAACTTTTGAACAATTGGGTTTGCACAGATCATTGTATGAAAAGTAGCGTCTCAGTATAATGCTGCATCTTTAACTAATCAAGTAGAAGACGGCATTGATCATATACGCAAACTTGTTGGACATGAAGGTTCAATCTTTCGGATAGCCTGGTCTTTTGATGGAACCAAATTGGTTTCTGTCTCTGATGATCGTAGGTGAATTTGTTGCTTCAATTCTATGATCCTAAATTCAGTATCATGTGTTTTCCCCTTGAGAGTGTTTCCATTCAACTTGGTCTCTTCTTTGGTACAGTGCTCGTGTCTGGGCAGTTTGTGCGGAAACAAAGCATTCTGAGAAGCCAGGAGACCCCATTGGCCTTGTTTTGTTTGGTCACAATGCCCGAGTTTGGGACTGCTGTATTCTTGGTTCAGTAAGCTTTACAAAAGTTTTTGAGCAGTCGTTGTCTTCTTCTCCTTTCTTTTTTGTTTCTCTCCAATCCAAACAAAATCACATCATTGGAAAATCAACTCACCATGTCCGTGCAACACAGATAAAAACAGATTATTAGCATCAGTTATATCCTGGGGAATTTTTTTTCATTTGAATGGGTTTTCAATCCTATCTATCTATCTCTAAGCTTGCCATTTAATGTGCACTGTGTCAGTGTGTAGGGTGAGAAGAACTAACTTTCCAAAATCAATTATCCTAGTCAGGTTGAACTTTTTATGTAATCACACGGGGTTTGTCCTGCATGTGATTAACTCCTGATGGAAATGGTCCTGGTGGTTTAGACTAGATTGTAAAATTCCTTATGTATGGATTGCTGATTCCAAAACCATTTATTTGTTTTAGTTGATTGTCACTGCTGGCGAGGACTGGATGGTAAACACCTTCAAATGATCAAGGAGCATACGTAAGTGCCTTGTGGTTCTTTTTCTGTCAATGATTTGAAATAGCAAGTTATTTCTTTCATTTTCTAATTAACTTGAACTTGTAAATGAAATGCTCGTATTGGAACAGGAAGAATAAGTTTTACAGAAAAAAATGTTGGTAGTGATTCCAGAAACATTGATGTTCTGGTAACAGCCTTGATCATCACTCCCTTTTTGTGGTCCTGTTATGTGCAGAGGAAGGGGCATATGGTGATGTTTGTATTATCCAAACTCTTCACTTCTCATTACTGCTGGTTTTGATTCTGCAATTAAAGTGCATCAGCTGCACACTTCCTCTGGGGGCCTTGAGGGACATGCAGAGACAAAAGAATTTACTAGAACGATTACATGCAGAGTTCATATCCCTACTTTTTCAGAGAATATTGCACCTATGGACAGGTAATACAATTTACTAGAACGATTACATACAGAGTTCATATCCCTACTTTTTCAGAGAATATTGGACCTATGGACAGGTAATACTCTGATTATTGAAGAAGGTTTGGGGGTCTATCCTTCCATTCTTAACTCCAAGAAAATAAAAAACTAAGTTTGTATTGTTTTGTATCAGAAACTGCTATATAACAATTTGGTCCTCCACCTGCTCAGCTAGGGCTTTGATTCATTGGTACCACAGCTAAGAAGTATTGTGGCTGTAAGAGTCCAACATCTTAAATCTCGTTTCTCTTAAGGGTCATTTAAATTGCTGAGGTTTGATTTCTGAATCCATACCTTGGGCAAAAGCCTTGTTTCGTAGGACGGGATGAATCCTGAATGAGATGAAACAATCAAAGCCCCATATTTTTTCCATGTCCCGCCGCAAAAGTAGAAGAAAGAAGGCAGAAAGGAGATCCCTTCCCCCCCGCCTTAAAAAATGATGAATATGAAGTCCGTGGGTAGACGTTCTATAGGGATTTTTAATGTGTTGTGAATAATCAATGGATGGGTAGTTAAGGTCTAAAAATTGACGCTTCAATATTCGAAATCCAAGCAAACCTTATAATGACTTCTATATGCACACATTTTCCTTATTTTGGTTTATGTTTCCTAGATGGTGTCTTCCTCAAATTTAGTGAATATATTAATGTTATCTTACTTACATTGGTCTTAAAAAGAATTGTTTCCTTTTTCTGATTTGGTCCAGCAAAAGCGAATACGTCCGTCGCTTGCACTTTGCTTGTGAGGATACCCTTTATGTTTAAACAAACCATGGCTATCTATCTGTACCATGCTAGATTATTGGACACTGGAGAAGTAGAATGGACTGAACTTGTCCGCCTCAGTGAAGAGGTCCAGATTGTTTGCATGGATTTATTTTCAGAACCACTTGAACTTTGCTCCAACATTGAGGACTGGGTTGCTGTTGGAAACGGAAAAGGAAACGTAACAATTGTTGGGGTTATATGTGATGGTTGTACTCCTAAAGTGGGTTTCTCCCTTACTTCGTCAGCTGGGATGGAGCGACAACTCCTAGGAACACATTGGTCCAAGTCACTGGGTTCTGGGTAATGATCAGTCACTGCTCTATTAAATAATAATTATCAATTATCTCTTCAATACCTGAGTTCTTCATGACTACTATCACTATGTTACCAAGGTCTTCATTCTAGATATTTGTTGTCCATAATTGGCAAGAGTGGGCCATATCATACAATGGCCACACATACCAGTGTGCCAATTTCTAGAATGGTATACCCATGCCACTTAAATTTCTGATGATAGACATCATCTAAGCCTTCCTTTGATTTTTAGATTTGGAAGTTTAAAATATTTAAGTCACCAATTCTACTGTTCATACCATGCAGGTATATCTTCACTGCTGATCCTAGAGGAACATTAAAGCTCTGGAAGTTGTCTGACCATTCTGCAAGGAGCTGCAATGTCTCTCTTATAGCAGAGTTCACATCAAGTTTCGGAACTCGAATTATGTGTTTGGATGCATTGTTGGACAAAGAGGTAACTGTTTTCCATTGTCTTCTTTTTCCTCTTAAGTTCATGTGAATGGGATTTGCACATAAAGTGTGCAGAAACACTACGATGGATTAGTTAAACACCAGAGAAACCTGTGGAGTGTGGGTTGACCATGGCCAGCTTAAATTGAGACAAAATACAACACAAGGTGGTCACTGTTGTGTTAAGCCACATATCATATTAGTGTTTCTCTCTCTCTCTCTCTCTCTCTCTCTCTCACACACACACACACACACACACACCCAATCAAATCATGTTTTGAATATTCTTGTATGTTTACATTGTTTAGATAAAAGGAGACTATGACTACTGCTCGGGTACAGATAGATAGGAAGACTTTAAGGACAAGTATAAGGAAATATTTAGCTCTTCGCCTAAATTTATAAAAGAGTAAACGTGAACTGTTGATCATGTGAAAAGAAGATGTGGCTTGCTTAACTTTTCAGTTCTTGAATTAAATCTAGAGAAAACTAGATGTTAGTCTAATTTCTTTAGAAACTATTGTGTATCCAGATATATTTAATTGTTTTTATGCCCTTCTGGTTGATTTTTGCAGGTATTGGTATGTGGAGATATACGTGGTAATCTTGTTTTGTTCCCTTTGTTGAAGAGTGTCTTGCATGGAACAGTAGAATCTAACCTGAATGTATCTCCGTCCAATTACTTCAAGGGAGCTCATGGAATATCAAGTGTTTCAAGTCTTGCTATTGCTAGACTAAGCTCCAAAAAGATTGATATACTGCTCGGTATGGTCACAATTGACTTTTAATCTGCAAGGGTGATGAGTGATTATAACACTCATGTGTGTGTTTGTGAATAGTGAAATTGTAATGCCTTTTAAACTTTACCTTCTCCCTTTTCTTAATTAGAAACATTGTAACTGTTACCAGAGAAGATGTGAGTACTCTCTTAATTTCCCACTTTTCTCAGACAGGAGCAGATGGGTGTAAATGCTATCTGGAGTATGAAAGAGATATGAAGAGTTTGGAATTTATAGGGATGAAACAAGTAAAAGAGTTGAGTCTTATTGAATCCGTTTCTGCTGATAATAACTCTGTTAATGAGTTGTCAACCTGTCATTGTGCTGCTGGTTTTGCATCAGTGGATTTTATAATTTGAAATTTAATGACTGAAACCAAGGTATCATCCCTTCCTGTACGGCCGTACCAATAACTTTTTCCTCTGAAATGATTGTAAGTTTTTTGTGTTAGTTATTTTGGTTCCTGAGGGTCCATATATTTTCCAGGTTGTCCATATTCCATGCGCTGGATGGAGGTGGCTGCATTCCTATTATCTTGGTTATATACCAGAAATAAGGAACTGTTTTGCATATGTTAAGGTTCGTAATTGACCAAAAAGTAGACATCGATAGCAAGTTATGATATGAGTTGTTTTAGTTTTATATAGGCCATGAAATGTTTTTTTTCTGCTAGGCACATTATTCTATCTCATTATTTGATCATTCCGTGTACATTTCATTTACTTACTTTAAAATAAAAAGAGCAAGTTTTCATCAAGTTTATAGAAATGTTGTATTTATCTTAAAAGTCTACAATATTCATTTGAATTTCAGGATGATATCATTTATATCCATAGGCGATGGGGGCTTGATGGTGAAAGGAAGATACTCTCCAGGAATTTGCATATGCAATTCCATGGGAGACAGATGCATTCCATATGCTTTGTCTCTGAAGATTTGCAACCTGGAGTAGATGAGAAGCACAGCCTATTCACTTGATCTAGTTGGATCGCTAATGGGTGTGAAGATGGAACTGTGAGGTTGACCAGGTATGGTTACAATTATTAGCAATTTACAATCTAAAATTCAAAAAAGAGAAAGTAGTTGAGCACCTCTGCTATGAAACTGAGGGGTTTTTCAGAGGGCTATACAAGACCAGCTAAATGTCTAATGATGGACTTAGGTATACACCAGGTGTTGAAAATTGGTCTGCATCAAAATTGCTTGGGAGCATGTTGGTGGATCAGCTGTGAGATCAATATGTTGTGCCTCAAAGTTAAACATTGTTCCATCAGATACTGCCAACATAAATGGAAAAAATGCAGCAGCAGAGAACAGAGAAACTCCAGTTCTATTGATTTCTGTTGGTGCAAAGCGGGTCTTAACTTCCTGGCTACTAAGAAGTAATAAGGTAAACAAAAAGGATGAAACACTATCTGATCAGCAGCATAACATCACTGGAAATGGAAATGAAGTTTTGTCACAAGAGTCAACTTCGATGTGATTCCAGTGGCTTTCAACAGGTATGCCAGTCAAGTATTCTAGTAATCGTAAATTTCCAGAAAATGTAGGCAATTATTCTATTGCAGAAACCAATGGAGGATCTAGATTATTGTCTTCAGAAAAGGGAAATATCGATTTGAAATCTTCACTTACGGATGAATATGAAGATGACTGGAGATACCTCGCTGTCACTGCATTTCTGGTCAAATGTGCTGGTTCCAGGTAATAGGAAATGACTAATGTTTGATTTCCTTATCTCATTTCCCTTTTTGATCTACTTCCAAGTTCTCGATTTCCTTTCAGGAT